CACACACACACACACACACACACACACACACACACACACACACACACACACACGAACGCACGCACACACAAACAAACATGCTGAATGTTCTCCTTCTCTCTTCTCTCCAGCTCCCATCATCCCTCCGGTTCTGGTGCCATTGTTTCAACAACGTTTTCAATTGAGACCCATTACGCTCACGCGACGGAGAAGCAAATTCAGTCGCACACCAAACCACGCCCAAACCAAACCACACAAAGAATAAGGCACACACAGCCGGCATGTGCGCTGATGTGAGCTGGCTACATGACCTCGCTGCAAAGCAACAAATCGTGCACACTGAATCACCACGGCATACACAACCAACGCAACAAATTGCTGATAACGCGAGGGCAAATGCTCAAATGCGAAAGGGGGGGGGGCGAATATGTAGTACCAAAGTACATTTAGAATGAGCTGAAGGACGCTTAGAGTCGCGATGCAGGGACAGGGAGGGAACAAACGCACAAAAACCCATGGAGAGATACGGCATGTAACTGTGCCGCTTATGAGGGGCAAACAGAAGAACAGAAGCAAGTAAAGAGCTCAGGCAGTCAGGCGAGACAAGACCTGACACACACACACACACACACCACACACACACACACACACAACACATGCTGAACACACTTTACCTCTACGTGAGACGAAACAAGGTGGCCCCCCATGATGAAAGCAACAAGGGCCGTTGGGGAAAGGAAATACGACCATTCTAGAGACAGAGGAAGAGAGGAACCACCCATCTACTGAAGAAGATGAACACAACTCGCGGGCTGATACAGGCTCGTTGAAACAAATACCGCTCAAATCAGCGGGTAAGAAAGGCCGTGAGGCCTGGTCTTGAAACACCGAAGCGAGGCCTGTATTCTTGAGTCCAGACGTTCAGAAGAACATGGGCTGATGCGACGACGTGTTATGCGTTGTGGTGACGGGCGGGACTGACGGGAGCTGCAGTGGAGAGAAGAGCAACTGGCCTGAGGACGCGGGTGGCACAAACCCGCTGTTGTGAAACTGCTGCGGCTGCGCTGGCTGCTGCTGCTGAGGCTGTTGCTGACGATGCCGCTGCTGGTGGAACTGTGGCTGGGCAGACGGCGCCTGGAAGAAGGAAGACATGGCAGCAGCGTCCTGCTGCGTGCCAGTCGAGTGAGTTGGGAGCGCAGGCGGAAGGGTGCGAGGCGGAGGGGGCACGGGCGCACTCGCACTCGCACTGTTGGCGGTGGTCGCAGGCAGTGCAAAGTACCGGGCGGGCAGCGACTGTGGGTTGACCGAGGGCTGCTGTGCCTGTTGTGGTGGTTGCGAAACGCCTGTCGCTGGCTGCTGTTGCTGCTGCTGCTGCTGCTCGGTTTGCTGCTGCAGCTGAAGTTGCTGCAGGAGCAGCAGCATCAGCGGCATGGTCTGGGCGGTGCCGTTGCCCGCAGACGACGTGGACGAGCTCCTGCTGCTGTTGCCGCTGCCGCTGTTGTTGCCGCGAACACTCGCGCTTCCGCCAGTTGCTGCGTTGGCGCCTTGCGGCTGGAGGGCCATTGCGAGCAGGCCGGCTTGCATGGCGCCTGCAGGCAAGGACTCGAGGAGCTCACGGCCGTGCATGGTGCAGATGTGCACGTACAGGTCATCCTGCTTGGAGAGGACGCGGTTGCAGTAGGTGCAGGTGCGCTCGCGCTCGCGGATGTGGCTCTTCTTGTGGCGGGTGAGGGCGCTGCGCTGGCGGAAGGAACGGCCGCAGTCCTTCTCGTCGCAGACAAAGGGCTTGTCGCCAGAGTGGACGCGGCGGTGGTACTCGTAATGGTCCTTGCGGTGGAAGCCGCGGTCACACTCCGGGCAGACAAACGGCAGCGTCTTCTTGTGCGAGTGGGAGTGGCGTTGCAGGTGGTTGCGGCGCCGATAGACCTTGTTGCAGCCCGGGTGTGGGCACACAAACTTGTAGGCGCCGTCGTCGCCGAGGGTGTCAACGTCGCCGCCGTCCGAGGAGCCTGCGCTTGACGAGCCACACGAGTCCCGTGTGGTGGTCGTCGTGGTGGTGCTGGGGCGTGTGTCGCTGGTGCCTACTTCCGTGGCGTCAGTTGGGGTGGTGGTCAAGCCAGCGGGGACGAGAAGGTGCTGCTGCTGCTGCTGCTGCTGCTGGTGGTGGTGGTAGTGGTGGTGATATCCCTGTGGCTGCTGCTGCTGCTGGTAGGCTGCGGGGCCGTGGTAGTCGTGTGGCTGGTGCACAGCCGATGATGGCGCTGCCATGCTGGAGAACATGGCGTTGGCAGGGTCGCTGTGCTGCTGCTCCTGCTGCTGTTGCTGGTCGCTCTGAGCGGAAGCGAGGGAGATGGAGGAAGTGGTGCCTGAGCGCACGTCGCGAAGGAAGGGCGTGTCCGTGAGCATGGTCATGGTAGAGGGCGCCGCTCCATCGAGGTGTGCGGCGCTGGGTGCAAGGGCGTGCGGCTTGGCGTGGGCTTGGTGGTGCTCTTGGGGCAGCGTGTGCGTTGCCTGCTGCTGACGATGCCGGTCTTGGGAGTTGCAGAACGCGTTGACTTCGTTTGTGGACATCATGGTCTTGCTCAGGCTTGGCTGCGTGGGGGAGGCGGGAAAAGGCGAGGAGAAGGAGGAAGATCTTCGGCGACAGCCCACTGGGGAGGTTGGCAACCGAGCTGTGGAAGCTGACGACGAGGAAGACGAGGAGGGGGGTAGCTGTGCTGATGGCGATGCGCTGTTGATGCTGATGTTGATGAGGTGGTTGGCGGTTTTCAAGTCGGCAAGCGACAGCGCAGCGGCCACTTCTCCGTGATGGGTGCTGAGGTCCGTTTGGCTTGGTGGTTGCCACCCAAAGGGTTGGTTGATCCGGTCGAAGGGAGGCGTGCCTGCGGTGTGCGCGTTTCTGGGTGCAACTTGGTCGGCTCGTTGTTCGGCTGCGGTTTGGGCGTGCGTGCTATGGGCCAATGCGGTGTGTTGCTGATGGGCCTTGGGTTTGGTTGTTGAGGCGATGCGGGACGATGAGAATGCGGTGGGTGGACGCTGTTTTGATGCAAACGGTGATGATGCAGACGATTCCCGCTGCCTGCTTCTTGCTCGGTGTTGGTGATCAGGCTTTGGATTTCTTCTTGCGTGTGCTCTTGGGCCGGTTGTGGGCGTGCTGTAAGCGACGGGTGGGGTGGTGTGTTGACGGAGGGTTTGTGAGCTGGTTGCTTGGTGATCATGCAAGGAGTGATGGGTGGAAGGTGTTGCTGAGAGTGCGTGGTGATAAGTGAACAATTGAGTGGATGAAAGAACCAAACCAACAACACATGGCAAAGCTAGGTTGAGATTGTGTGCAGGACACTGCGGATGTTGCATGGCAAATGTTTTGAGTTGGGTGATGCAATTGGTGGAAACATAGCATGTGATGGAAGCATAGCATGTGGCATGGCGATGCATACCAAAACACACACACACACACACATACACATGAGGTCGGGTGGTTCGAATGTGTTGCTAAAAGGAGAGGGTGTGTGTGTGCATCGAGCATGCATAGTAGTGTATCGAGTGTGTAGGCGCTGTGCTGCGCGACGCACCTTTGGCGATCCAGTGGCTTGAGGGTGTCGCTGCTTGGTTGTGAATGAACGATTGCGAGGAATGCAGGTGGGTGGGGTGGAGATGGAAATGATTGTTGACGGTTGGCTATTGCACTAATGTTTGCCTGGGTTGCAAGGCTGGACGCAAAGTCGCCAACCCCCATGAGTGGAGAACAACAGCTAAGTAGTAGGGAGAAAGCTCAGTGACGACAATGACGATGGTGCCTGCAGAACTGGCTCAAAATATTGGTTGAAGGTTGGTGGTGGTCAGGTGGTGGTTGGCGTGTGGTCGGGAACAAAGGATGTTGCTGCTGACGAGGTACATGGAAGGTGCTGGATTGGATGTGGAGGAACGTGCAGCAAGCAAGGTGTTGTTGGTTTGGCTGGTCGATGGTCGCTGCCTGCAGTTGTGCGGACGTAGCAAGCAAAACAGAGAATGGGGGGTGCGTGCTGGTGATTGTGTCAGTGCGCGCGTGGTGGTGGTGGTGAATGGCGTGGTGGCCAAGGCGGGTCTGTCAAATTATGTGCTTGAAGACGAAAGGGGTGCGTGCCAACCCCGCGCCAACCAATCCGCCCAACCAAACCAACCGAAACGAGCCAACCAATCACACGCGCACACCCACACACGCATGCACAACTGACCTAGCGATGCCAAACTCAAACCCAACCACCTTTGCCGTGATGCTTGCACCCTTGCGTGCAACTAGCGAGGGATTGCGTGCTGTGACGCAAACCTGTGCGTGCAAACAGGTTGTGGCTTGGGTGGATGTAAGTGGTGGTGGAGAGGGTTGGGTGAGCGTGAGCGTGTGTGGGTGAATGAAAGCGGTGAGTTGGATTGCAGCAGCAGCAGGATTGCGCCCTTGTTTGCTTGTCAGTGCGTGCGAGCTGGCACATGCTTCGTGCATGTTGTGCGTGGGTGATTCCGTTGGGCGCGGTTGTCCAAGTGCGACAAACCAGCAAGGCGGGACAAAGGTTTGGGTCGAAACGGGGCTTAATGGCGAAGGTTGCACGTCGTGTCGTATCGAAAGTGCCTTGTGCTGACGCGCTCATGAGCACTTGGTGTTTGCGCGTTTTCAAAGAGGAACACTTCCAAAGATCAAGCAAGGCAGGACACGTTTCAAGACGTCTTGCACACGTGCATCACGTATTGGTGTCCGGGATAATCCGTCCGGAAGAGCAAAATTCGGGACAGGTCACGTATGTGTTGCGTGCTCGAATGCGAACGCGGCGCGTTGGTGTTGCGAATGAAAAAACCGTGCATTCTTGCCTGCTGTATTGCGTCAAAACTGTATGGTGCAGACGCAAACATGCATGACAAAGCAGTTGGGTGCTGACGCAAGCCCACAAAAACAAGTGAATGTTGTAACCACAAGCAAACTTAAGCGCGTGCGAGTGAATGAAGCAAGGCAGGGGGTTTGGGGTTGGCTTCATGCAACCTCTACATCCTTGAAGCGTGCACGCAGATCCTTCTTGGAGAACTTGCCGACGCTGGTCTTTGGAATCTCATCAACAAACTCCACCTTGTCAGGCAGCCACCACTGTTGCGTGATGTATGCGTGTGTGTGTGTGTGTGTGATGTGGGATTTGTGTGGGATGTGTGTGGGATGTGAGCCAATACGCGACACGCGACCAACAAAATGATGCAGAAGTGGCGAGCAAACACTTCCTCGCACCCAACGACACGCTCAAAAAATTAGAAGTCGGTTGGAAAGGAGCGGAAGTGCACGCGGGGTGGCGAAAGCAGCGAATGGAAGCGTATTCGTCACTCTTTGAGCAAGAACGCCAAATATTGAAGGGCGTGCCCCTAAAATTTTTGCCCCGCAGCCGCAGCAGAGCAAAACCTTCGGCAGCTCAAAACTGCCGCGGTTGCCGCAGGAGGACTGGGCGGGCAAAATTTGAATGGAAACAGATGGAAGCAGGCTTGATGAAAGGGGCACGGATGGAAGGCCATGGAAGTCTGAAGCACATTCCGTCAGGCTCAACAAAAAAGGCAACAAAAGGACAGCACGAGACCAACCAACAACAAGGCGAAAGCCACAGCACAACAACACAACGCAACGGCAGGCACACTTGCACCCCGCCCAATGGTGGGTGGGAAAACACAGCGACCAAACGATACAAGGTTTTTGGCCTGGCAGTGAACATACAACATGCTGACCGCCGAATGTGTGGTTGACCAACGGTTGGATTGGTCAACCTTCGGCCCATCACATACATGGAAGAAGATGGAAGGAGACGAAGGAGATGGAAGGAGTTGGAAAGAACAACAACAACTCGCCAAGAGATGCATGGTTGGGGAGTTGGGGGTACAACAGAGACATTGAATGGCATGGGGCGGGTGAGGGAAAGGGACAAGCCGTCGTCATGGTGTTCACAGCACAAGCACACACACACACCACCCAACCGTCACGTCAGCAGCGAAGGAAGAAGCTCATCGAAGGTGGAAGAACAAAGATGAGGACGAGTAGCAGAAGGACGAGTAACAGAAGGACGAGGAGGAGACAATCCACCGTTACGACCAGCGAGAGACAATCCACCGTTACGACCAGCGAGCGTGGTGGATTGGAAGGACATGGAAGAACCACAAAGATCAAGAAGCGTGAAGAAGAAGAAGAAGAAGAAGAAGAAGAAGTCGTGGTCGAGAAAGGACAGCTCAACAGCGCACAGCCAGGATAGCAGGCAAGCAAGTAAGCAAGAAAGCAAGCAAGCAAGCGAGCGAGTGGAAATATGTACATGCATGTGGGACCAATCAAAAAGGTTGGCAGACCAGAGCCCTCACAATCCCGTGGTCGGTAGAGGCATGGGGCGTGTGGTGATGGGATGTTGGGTCATGGTTGTGGTTGTGGTGGATTTGTGGCGTGGTGTCGCCCAACAAAAGGGAACATGGCATGGGATAAAAGAACAAACAACAATCGTTGTTGGTCTGCCCGTGTGACACGAGCGCCACCGCGCCACGCCAGCCCGCGTGCCACCCCAGCCATGCCTGGCTGCTTGGACCCAACAGTCTCAAAACCACAACACCACACAGCTCACAGCTCACACACCACTTCGCTCACACATACGTGCGCACACGCACGCACCTTGGCCATCTTTGGGGTGATGAACTCGAGCAGCTCCATCTCCGTCATGGTCTCGCCCGGTTGCATCACGACGCATGCCATGGGACGCTCCATCCACTTCTTCGACTTGATCGCAAACACGGCAGCCTCTGCAACCTGGTGTGCGTGTGTGTGTGTGTGTGTGTATGTGAAGGGAAATGTGTGGTGGCTCATTGGATGCAGGCGCATGCCAACGCTTATATTCTCTTCAAGCACGAGTGCATGTGCAAGCACACACACACACACACACACACATAGCACACGCACATACACACACACACGCACATACACACACACACACGCACAAGAACACCGCACCTTTGGGTGGGACATGATGATGTTCTCGACGTCGGCAGAGGAAACCCACTCGCCGCCAGACTTGATGACGTCCTTGGCGCGGTCAACCAGCTTGACATACCTGCCATCGCGCACGCGCAGTGCAAAGGGGAAGGCGCAGTGCAAAGGGACGAGCGGAAGAACAAACACGGTTGTGTGATGCGTAAGATGTGGAACAAGGTTGGCGTGTGCAGGACAACACGAGTGAACACACAAGAGCACGAGCGAGGAACGATTGCAGTGCCACTGAAGGGCACACACACTGTATGCTTTCAAACAGTGCACGAGATACACACACGCACATGTACACACGCACATACATGCACACACACATACACACATACATACATACATGCGCGCTCACATACACACACACACACAATGCACACGTCACGCACCCATCTGGGGAGATGGTGGCGACATCACCGGTGTGGAGCCAGTCGCCAGTGAAGGCCTCGCCCTCAAGGTCGTCCGGGTTGTAGTAGGCAGAGCAGATCCACGGGCCGCGCACCTGTTGAGGATACAACACACACACACACACATACACATGTGCAGTGACAGTCAGGGACGACCAAACGAGGCAGTATCAGTGAACACAAAGAGAGAGAGAGAGAGAGAGAGTGTGTGTGTGTGTGTGTGTGTGTGTGTGTGTGTGTCGTCGCAGCAATCAACACCAACACACTTGCACGCACACGCACATACACATGCACACACACACACACACACGCACACGCCCAAACCCACATGCACACACGCACGTATAACCCCTTCCCCCTAACGCACGATAGACGCAACCCCCTCCTCAACAAGACCACAACCACGACAACCTCCCCCCCCCCAAACCACACACACACACACACACACACACACACACACACACACACACACACACACACACACACACACACACACACACACACACACACACACACACACACACACATACACACATACCTGGAGTTCGCCAGACGCCTTCCCGTCCCATGGCACCTCCTCCCCAGTCTGTTGATCGACAATGCGTATCTCAACACCAGCGAGCGGATACCCGACAGTCTCTCGCAGCGCATCAATTGTGGCCTCGTCCGCACCCTGGAACCTACACATGTGTGTGCGTGTAAGTGTGCGTGCGTGTAAGTGTAATGTATTTGTGTGTGTGTGTGTGTGTGAGTGAGTGAGAGAGAGAAACACAATGAAAGGAAGGCGGGCGCGAGAGTGGAAAGGAGGTGCTGACGTGTCAGCACACGCGCATCAAACATGTTGCAACCATCAGCAAGTGCGCACTTTGACATGATGGCGCCAACAGTAGCGACAGGGCTCGTCTCCGTCATGCCCCAGGCCTGATGCCGGTTGAGGTTGGCACAAGCAAGAGCGACAAGACATGGGCGTGAGCTTCAAAACAATACTGCACTCATCAAGCACACACACACACATTGACACAAGCACACACACACACACATAAATTGACACATGCACACACGTTCATACACACAAACACACACCTGCAGGATGGGCAGGCCGATGGCCTTCTCGTATTGCTTGGAGAGGGAGAGTGGGACGGCAGAGCCGCCGCAGGGAATGCCGCGGAGGTGCGGCAGCTTCCTGCGTTGCAAATTGCACAACACACACGGACACACACGGACACACACAGACACACATTTGCACACACACACATTTGCACACACAAACACACACAAACCCGCACACGCACACGTGCAGAGGAAAAGAGCACACATCAGAAGGTGAGCTGCATGTGGAGCAACAAGGGGCGCCCAAAGTATGACCTCAGCAACGTGAAGAACACAAAACGTCGCAGCAGCTGCCAGTGCGACGTGCTACATGCGTTGGCTGACCTGCCCTTCATGTGGGGCAGAACACCCATCCAGATGGTTGGCACGCCCGCCGCCAGGGTGACATCCTCTGCTTCAATGATGTTGGCCTTGGGCCGTCGTGATGGTTGTGGTGGTTGATGGTTGTGATGGTGGTGTGATGGTGGTTAGGTGTGGCGGTGTTGGTGGCGGCTGCAGCGACCGGGGCAGAGACATAGGTGCACACAGCACCAAAGCACAACCCAACACAACCCAACAGCACAACAACACAATAGCACAACAACAAAACACAACCCAACACAACACAACAGCACAACAACACAACACAACACAACACAACACAACAGCACAACAACACAACACAACACAACAAAACACAACAAAACACAACACAACAAAACACAACACAACACAACACAACACAACACAGCGCACCAGGTGCTCTGGAACGAGGCCGAGGCCTGGCATGACGAGGTTGGCGCCACATGCGGGGGCGACGTGGGCCAGACCCCACGCGTTGGCGTGGAACATCGGCACCACAGGCAGGATCGTGTCGCGCTCGTTGACTGGTGGGTGCGGGGGAAGAGGGGGAGGGGGAAGAGGTGGTGAGGTGGAGAGAGAGTAATGAGGATGTGTGGTACATGAAACCCAACGAAAGCCAAACAAACGCTGTCACATACACCGAATTTCCCCCCCCCCTCACATAACACAAAACACACACACACACTTGCACACACACACACACACATTTGCACACACACACAAACAAACAAACAAACAAACAAACAAACAAAGACCCTTACTTCCAAGGCCGTCGGCGTTGGTGAGGGCGAGGGTGTGCAGGAAGAGCGAGCGATGCGTGTACACAACGCCCTTGGGGTGGCCTGAGCAAAGCAAAAAACACACAAGAGAAGTCAGTTAATGAGCACGGGAGACGCAGCAGGTGATAATAGTTGGTTGGCTGGCTGCTAGCTGTGCACGTCTACGACCATGTCAACAACAGCGTCGTGTGAACAGAAAACAGTCGCTCGCATTTCACACACACACACACACACACACACACACACACACACACACACACACACACCTGTGGTTCCGCTGGTGTAGCACATGGATGCGGCCTGGCGCTCGTCCTTGACGTTGAAGTCGACCTCCTTTGCATTGGCCATGAGCTCCTCGTAGCGGAGGATGCGCGGGTCATCCGGGATCTCGCCCTTTCCGTCGTCCATCACCACAATGTTGCGCACCTTCTCAAATGTCTTCACCAGCGGCCACATCAGCGCCACCAGCGACCGGTCCACAAAGATCACCTGCAGGTGCATATGTACGTGTGTGTGTGTGTGTGTGTGTGTGTGTGTGTGTGTGTGTGTGTGTGTGTGTGTGTGTGTGTGTGTGTGTGTGTGTGTGTGTGTGTGTGTGTGTGTGTGTGTGTGTGTGTGTGTGTGTGTGGTGTGTGGTGTGGTGTGGTGGAAAAGTGAGGCCACTAGACCACGTAATATTCATACCAGCACACGGAGCGTGCGCGCGCACACATACACACATACACACAATACGCAAACACACACACACACACATACGCAAACACACACATACGCACACACACACCTCGTCCTCGGCGTGGTTCACGACGTAGGTCAGCTGCTCGGGGAAGAGGCGAATGTTGAGGGTGTGGAGTACGCGCCCGGCACAGGGCACGCCATACCACAGGTCCAGGTGGTTTCCGCTGCGGCACAGAGAGGGGGGATGTGACAAGGAGCCAAGGTGAAACAGGCGCAAACAATGGTGGTGGCAACAACACCCAAAACGTGCAAGGACAGCTCAATACAAACTCCAGAAACAAGCAAACAAACAACCAGACAACAACCAGCCACACACACACACACACACACACACACACACACACACACACACACACACACACACACACACACACACACACACACACACACACATACTTGTTCCAGGCAAAGGTGCCGACGCGGGAGTTCTCGCCAACGCCAAGGTCATCCAAGATGCCGCCAACCTTGCGACAGCGCTGCACAAACTCGCTGTATGGCGTCTCCTTGCGCATGACGCCCTGTGTTACGATCACCCAAGGATGCGTGTGAGCACGTATGAGCGCACGAATGCACGCGTACGCACACACACACACATACACACACGCAGGTACGCACGAACGCACACGTACAAGCACACACATGCGCAAGACAACAACGCAAGGAGACACGCACGGAGTTGTCGATGATCTTCTTGTTGTAGAAGAGCTTCTCCGCACGCCACAGGAAGGCCGGCAAGGCAAGGGGATAGTCCTGTAACACCACGACAAGAAGAACAACACAAACCAAATCGAAGGTGAGCCAAACAAAGCAATCGAAGGTGAGCCAAGCACAAGCGCATCACATCACCGCTATCCTTGGTTGCACCCACTGTGTCACGTAACCTAACCGAGCACCACACAACCCCCCCCCCCCACAGCACCACCACTCATGCACTTACCGACATCAAACCGGGCACGTGTGCCACTGCACGCGGTCCGCCATCATCAAAACAGTCACCATCGGGCAAACGTAGTGAGTGATGTGATGCATGTGGCTAGTGCGAGCAAAACGTCCGTCTCTTGCAAATACACACAAGCATCATCATCACCACAAACACCATCAACCGCCAAAGCACCGCTGCAGCAACCGCCAAAGCATCAGGGACAACACTCCATGTGATGAGCCCACCTGAGCGGGTTGCCTGCCACAGCTTCGCGCCGCCACGCAGCGTGCGCTGCATTGCCATCATCATGATTGCTGTTCGCAGGAGGGGACGAGTGGTTGTGACAGTGGGTGGAGGAGGGGGAGTCGCTGGCTGTCTGTTGTTTGTGTTTGGTTGTTTTGTTGTTTTGGTTGGATTGTGGAATTTTATTTGAAGTTTTCGTAAATTATCGACAATTCAAACAGAACACCACAATTTAGTGTCAAGGCAAGCGCGCGCAAATCGCCTCCCTCACACCACTGTCACTGCCACTGTCTGTCACATACATCGTCACATGTCACTTCACGCCTCTTGTCGCTGCGAGCGCTGCCATCCTTGTCTTCGTCAATCAGTGCTGTGTGCTTGTGCTTGTGGCTGTTGTGGTTGTGGTTGTGCCTGTTGTGGTTGTGGGTGTGGCTGTTGTGGTTGTGGGTGGATGGGCGGGGGTTGGCATGGGTGCACGCTCAAAGGGGATGGCGACGAAGCTGTCTGGCAAGGACGGGCGGCGCGGCAGCTCAGGAAACAGCTGCATCAGCAACAGCTCAAGGAAACACAGCACAAGGTGCTGGTTGAGCTGGTGATGTTGCAGCACATGTAGCAGCTTCAGCGCGCCCTTCCGTGCGTTGGTGGGGCCCACAAGAACGCGCACAGCCGAGGGCATGTTGTCCAACAACAGCCGGCACGCCTCCCCAGCCAGCGCATCACGCTCCCGCAGCGTCGGTGGCGGCTGCACAACAGGCACCTGGTCGTCTGGAAACAGCCCAGCGCGGGTCAGGTTCACAAACCAGAGCACCTGTGGCTCATGCGACAGCCACGACACGGCAGCCTGCAGCTGCCGGTTGATGTTGGCGCCATATGTCAGTTGCACAAACGCCACCAGCTGCCGCCGCAGCCAGGTAAACAGGCCCTTCAGCTCAAACACCTCGCTGATCAGCCGGAAAATGGGCTCCGCTTTGCTCTCGGACCGTCCACCGTCCGCCGTTGTTGCTGTTGATACTGCCGCTGCTGCTGTTCCTGTGGTAAGAACAGTGTTTTCTGCTGGAGCTGATTTCCGAGGTGTAGCCGGCGCTGAAGCGGCAGTCGTTGGTGCAGCTGTTGTTGTTGTCGTTGTTGTGACGGATGATGATGCTGCGCCCGCGCTCCCAGAAGCAGTCGCCGAGTCCAGGGACGATGCCAACAGCGCACTCAGCACAGCCGCACTTTGCTCTGCGTCAGAATCGTGCTCGCTGTCATCCGCACCATAATCATCGTCGTCATCGTCATTTTCATTGTGACCAGCAGCATGAGCAGCAGCCTTGACATGTCTTGTGTCGTCGAGATGATTGCTCACACGAGTTCCTCTCACCGTACGTTCCTCGCCCCTCCCCCGTCGACCACCACCACCACTGCGGCTGCTGCTGCTGCCGTTCTTGCTCTGCGCTTGGGCCATTGCCGTTGCTGTCACCATCGCTGTTTCGGTCGTTGTCGCTGCCGCTTGCGCAGGTGGCTCCGGTGGCGGGTCGTGGTACAGCCTGCGAACAAAGCTGGGGCTCGGGCTGAGAAACGTGAACAGCGCGTGGCTGTCGCTGAAGCGTGGGTGCTGTACACACGTGTCCAGAAGCGACTGCAGCGTGGCGATGGTTCGCTGCTTCCACCTGTCGATGCGCAAGGGCGACTTGATCCAGGGCAGCTTCGGCAGCCGCAGCGCGCGGTGGCGGGCGGCGCGTCTGTCCACCTCCCGCAATCGACGATGCAGCTGCTCAAACTCGCTCAATCGCCGGCACAGGATCCACCCAGATACAGACGACGAACCGCGCTGCATCGCATGGTCGCTGCCGTGGTCGTAGTGGCGGCTGCGGTCGTGGCGGCGGTGGCGGCGGTTGTGGCTGCTCTCGGCCCTGCTTCCATGTGCATCATCCCAAACCCGCTCATGCCCTGTATTGTTGTTGACATCGTCGACATCGTTGTAACCATTGTCGTTGCCGCCATCACCATCACCATCACCATCACCATCACCATCACCACTGCCTTTGTCATCATCGTCGTCGTCGTCGTCGTCGTCGTCATGATCGCTGCCACTGTTCTTGCTAGCGCCAATGATAGCACTTGCACCATCACCACCACCCCAACCCTGGTTATCGCTGCCGCCACCGCCACCCTCGCCACCATCGCCGTCAGCGTGCACAGCCACCAGACACAGCAGCTCCCCATCATCGGCTTCGTCCAGCGTTTGCACATCCGCGCGCCAGTGGCCAACAAGCGACCAGTAGCGCTCTGTTTGCTCGCCGTGGCGCTCAAGCGCTGCAATCTCATTGCGCAATTGCGTCAGGACGGCCGCCTCCTGTGACGTGTCCAGTCCTTCCAGGCGCCGCAGGAGCAGCTGTCCTGTGATGGTTCGCACAGACGCCTGCCGCATCTGCACTTGCTCCTCCAGCACTGCACTGTAGTCGTCGATGCCGCCAACATTGCGGCCGCTGCTTGGGTGCTTTCCCGCACCAGCACCACCATCACCTGCGCCACTAGTGCCATCATCATCTTCATCATCATCATCGTCATCGTCATCATCATCGTCATCGTCATCATTGTCATCATTGTCATCACCTTTGCCGTCTTTACCACCAACGCCGCTACCACTTGCTTGTCGAAGCGCGGTGCTGTGTCCAATCCTGGCCTGCGTGGAAGTCAGGGGCGAGAACGCAATGGACTTTGGGCGCGGGCGTGTGTATGTGCGTGTCTGTGCGCGTGCAAATGCATCTGTCTCTGCTGTGGTCGCCGCTGCCATCGCTGCTGTTGTCGTTGGTCTTGTTGATGGCGACACAGACGTTGCTGGCGCGACTGTTGATGGGGGCGCTGTTGACGACCACAGCGAGAAGCGCTTCCTGCGTGCACTCGCACGCGCCCTCGACTTCATCTCATGTTGCTGCTGATGCTGTTGTTGCTGGCGGCGATGGAAAGAGGCGGATTGCCGGTTGGAATGTACCAAGTAGCTGTCAAGGCCGGTGTGTTTGTTTGTGTGTGCGTGTGCATGTATGTGATTGTTTGTATGTGATGGTTTTGTGTGATGGTTTTGTGTGTGTGTGCGTGCGTGCGTGTGTATGTGTGTTTACGAATGAGTGTGGGGCTGAGCATGGTTCGCATATGCACGAGCGTGTAGCTCATGCGCACGTGGTTTGAAGATAGCAGGCCACGCCACATCACGCCTGCTTGCATGAGTCAAACTCACTCGCGATAGACGTCGCTGCAGACGAAATGGCTGTGCTCCTCCTGCAACATGGCGCCAACTTGATGAAATGCGCGCATGATCGCATGCAACAGTTTCCGCTGCTCGTGCAGCACATTCGTGTCCTCTCCGGCCGCGTCCTACGTACAGTCATGTGTACGTGTGGATGTGTGTGTGTGTGCGTGTGTGTGTGTGTGTGTGTGTGTGTGTGTGTGTGTGTGCGTGCGTGTGTGTGTGTGTGTGTGTGTGTGTGTGTGTGTGTGTGTGTGTGTGTGTGTGTGTGTGTGTGTGTGTGTGTGTGTGTGTGTGTGTGTGTGTGTGTGTGTGTGTGTGTGTGTGTGTGTGTGCGTTGGGGTGGGGTGGGGGTGGGGTCAAGGGAGAAAGGCAGCGGTGGAACGTGTGCCCCATTGTGCAATGCGAGTGTGCAGCGACGCCAGTGGCAGAACTGGAATTGTAAGGTAACGACAGATGCTTCGCCCATCGATAATCAGAGAGGCTTCCCTCAAGACAAGCACACACACACACACACACACACACACACACACACACACACACACACACACACGTACGTACGATATTTTATAAAAAGCTGGAATTGAGATGAGGAGCCGACAACGACACACACACACACACACACACACACACACACACACACACACACACACACACACGTACGTCATGTGCAGCGGTGAAAGCACGGAACAATTCGTGCAGCTGTCGCCGCGTCTCCGGGTCAATCTGACGATGACACACGTGCGCACACATGCACACACACAAGGAGGTGAGCTGGTGACGGTGGAGTAGGTAGCCTTCATTCGCACGCACACACGCTTTTAGAGACACACACGCAAGCACAATACACACACGCATGCAGACACACGCATACAGAGACACACACGCAAGCACAATACACGCGCGCGCACACACCTGCAGAGCAGTGACACCGCGCGTGCTGAGGTCGAAAGCGGCGCGAATGACGGCGATATCCGGGGGCGTGACGGCGTGTGTGGATGTGATGCGTGCACGCAACTGGCGAACGGCCTGGTAAAACTTGAAGTTGAGCTCCTTGTGGAAGCCAGAGAGGAACTGCAGGAAGTAGCCAAGCAGCAGCCCGTTGTCAAGTGTTTCTTCAAACGTCGGCGC